TTACTCTTATCCAAGTGTACGTGGAACGACAATCAGATCTCATCGATCTTTCGAAAAGTTTTGTCCAACTGGATTTGGGTTTCAAAACACAGAAAATGCCAATCTCACAGCACGCGCAAACAATGTGGGTGTGATGACTTCACCAGCCAACAATATTGCACACATCTTCTTCAAGCAAATCAATTTCAGAGCCAATGGTACCTTACTCACCGAACAAGTAGACATGTACCATCTTAAAGCTTTCATACAGACGATCCTTAATTATGACAGGAATGATGGAGAGACGATACTCGAACCAGCTGGATGGCGGAACGAAATTGATTCTCCTGTAACCTACACCGCTGCAAATGTCAAGATGGATGATGCCGCGTATACAGCTCTTTCCATAAATCATCAAGAAAGCATCAAGAGAAAGAGAGCAGATGCAATAGACTACTATGCAGGAGGAAAGAGGAGAATCTTGAGAATGAAACCGTTTATAGACGCGTTTCACCAAGGAAAATGGATCGTCCCCAAAACTCTTTTGGAATTGGAATTTTATCTGAATCCAGCAGCTTTATTCATGAATGGAGAAGCCAATCCACCCAGTGAGGAAGTCCGAGTCAACCCAAAGGATATTAAACTTACCTTCTTTCTATGTCTGGTGTCCCTAAACCCAGCCGTCTACATGAGCATGATGAGTATGACGACCAAAACCCCAATCAAGTATCCCATGATCCGTACCGAGATGAGACAGTTTCCCTCAGACAATGGGGCCACTTCTAAAGAAATCAACAACCCATTCAATGGAAAGGTGCCCCAAAGAGTCATCATTGGCATTCTGAAAACTACTGCATTCAATGGTCAATACAACGAAGACCCCTTGGCCTTTGGAAAATTTGGGGTGGAATACATCAAACAAATTGTGAATGGAGAAGAATACCCTAACGAGACTTTGGAACTCAACACGGCTAATGGTCAAAAAGACTTGATGGGTTATCACCGATTTCTGGATGCTACTGGCTGTCTGTACAGAAATGCAGGAAACATGGTGCGATTCAAAGACTGGGGTCATGGAAAAAATTGCACGCTGTTTGCGTTTTCCAATTTGGCCAATGGAAGACACGATGACCCGGTTCTTCTACCTAAAAATGAAGGCTTCATCAACATTCACATTAAATGTGCAGGGCAAGCAAGTCAGAAAACGGTGATCGTTTATGCTGAATATGAAAGCATTATGGAAATTGATGGCATTAAAGGAGCTACCACGATGGAAGTGCATTAGTGATGGAGTTTGTGTGGCTTACTACGAATCAACTCAACGCTTTAGCGGATAGCGATCCAGAACTCCGCAAGTACTTTGTGAGTGCTTTAGCCTGTGACGAACTACCCGAGTCGCCTGAACGTGTGAAACCGAGAGCTTACATTGTCAATACCCACCCTGCAGACAAACCTGGGGAACACTGGATAGCTGTGTGGACCGAACACGATAGCTGTGAAATTTTAGATAGTTGTGGTTTAGATTTAACCACCTATGAATTTCTGACACCATTCATTGTATGGTTAAACCGATGGCCTTACGTGCGTAAAAATAATCGAGCATTACAATCTGTAAAAACCGCAAGATGTGGAAACTATGCCATCATTTATTTAATGCGTAAAGCAAGACGCAAGAGTATGGATGAGTTTTTTTCCATGTTTTCTAAAAAGGATTATGTAGGCAACGATGATAAAGTAGGCGACATGTTAGAAGACATCATTCAATCATTAATAAAATAAAAGGAATGAAATAAAATCGTGCCATTTTTGTGTAACTCGCTTTTAGCAATCATGTTCAAGTGTGTGGAACCAGGATTTTCGTTCAAATCCCCTTCCAATATTTTGATTGTGGGCCCTACAAGTTGTGGAAAAACCACCTTTCTCCATCACCTACTTTTGGAAAATTTAGACCTCTTTGACGAAAGACCGCCCTGCGTGCATTACTGTTATGGATCCTGGCAAAATAAGTTTGACGACATGCAACGCCATGGCATAGAATTTTTTAAAGGAGTGCCTACCCACGACGATTTAACAACATGGTTTGGAGATAAACGAAGGGGTATTCTTGTCTTGGATGATCTCATGTCGGAGGGAGGAGATGACAGAGAAACACTTAATCTTTTCACACAATATTCTCACCACATGAATGTCACCGTGTGTTATCTCTGCCAAGACATGTTCCCTCAAGGAAAATATGCCAAGACCATCTCTAGGAATGCGCAATACATTATTGCCTTTAAAAATCCTAGCGATAAAGTGGCGTTGCGCACCTTACTGCTACAGATATACCCGACCAAGTGGCTACCTGTTATGGATATATATAATGCATGTACGGACAGACCCTATGGTTATTTGTTATTTGACGTACACCCTGCAAGTAGAGATTCTACGAGACTTTTAAGTCACTTGTTACGACACGAAGGGTGTGTACGCTGTTACAGAGAGAAATAAATAAGAAAGATGCCTGGTTATAAGCGCAGTATGCCCACAACCCGAAGGAGAAGAAGAGTGAAAAGAAGACTAACCAAAAGAGGACAAAAAGTAGGTATCCTACCATTAGCGGCACTCATTCCAGCCCTCATTGCTGGAGGTAAAGCATTGGGTTTAAGTGCCCTTGGAGGAACTGCATCATTTGGGGCTAAAAAAGGCCTAGAAGCTCTTACAAAGAAAAAGCGATGATTAATAGTTTCAAGAGAAATGTGGATGTTTTAAAATCTATTTTACAAGAGAAAAATAGAAAGCGTCGTATGAAAAAATTACTTCACGCTAGTAAAGATCAAATCAATGCCGTCAGTGAATTCACGTTGAACATGTTGAAGAAAAAGATACCTTTATCACCGCCCACCGTTGCCAAACTCAAGAAATATAGAGTGATGTTGAGAGAGTTGGGTAAACGGAGGAACTCTTTAAGAAAGCGGCGTCAATTACTTGTGAATCAAACAGGCGGTAGCTTTTGGAGTGGTATGAACGACGCGTTTTGTCAGTGTTTCAAGAGATCATGACTGTCACCGTGCAAGAGGGTATAAACGAAGTGGACACGGGTATAAAGTTTGATTTGCAATTCAACTACGACGACGACGACAGTGACTATAAGGATTCAACCGAGTGTAGACACACAATAGCTCAACTGTTTCGGTGGTTGCGTATACGTGTGGTGGAACCCTTGTGGTGATTATGGAGACGTTCTTAATGGTGAAACCCGATGAGTTTCGAGCTTTGGTAGATTATTACAAGAGAAAAATTACTGAAAGTACTCTTCTGGACAAAGCCGCACGCGTGGCCGCCGAAGCAAAACTGTTATTAGAAGATACATCTACTCCTGCTGCTTTAAAAGAACCTGTGGTAAAAGAATTGTTAATGCAAGAACGCAAGCTTACTGACAAATTGAGACAGATTCCTATCGCCGGTGGTGTAGAACCTCCACCACGAGACGATGATGGTAATCTCATGGAGGGGTTGCAAGAGGGATTGTTAAAAGAACCCATTAAATCCATAAATATGAGGGGACAAGCCGCCGTACCTCAGATGACACTCAAGAGGGAACCTGTCACACCTGTGGGGATCAAGAACGAACCCGTCACCCCTGCGAAACCGGGAACGTCCAAGATTCCTTTTCTCACAGCTCCATCCCAAAAGATACAAAAAACGAAACGAAAACTTCCTGTTCCCACACCGCAAAAGCATCGCACGGAGTTGGAACGACTCAGAGAATTTGGTAACTGGAAACCTTGGGAAAAGAGAGGTTACGACCCGTATCAAGTGTTTGAAGATGACGAAACGCCAAAGTCGAAGAAAGGCAAAGGGAGGGGCAAGAACCGTCCAAGCTAAGGCTAAAAGGAAACAACAGAGAGGAGGAAAATTTGATATTCAGAAATGGATTTCAAAGTTAGGTGTCGAGTTTCATTGGCCCGGATACCAGTATATGGGTCCAGGTACAAAATTAGCCAAGCGATTAAAACGTGGTGATCCAGGAATTAATCGTCTTGATAGATTAGCCAAACAGCACGATATTGATTACAGTAAAGCTAATTGTTTTTAAGTCGTCACTTTCCTTTTGCTGAATTTTTAGTATCGTTTTTTCGTCCTATTCGAAGAGTACTTCATCAATTTTTTAGGATTCAAATGCGTTACCCTGTAGTTTCAACTCGTGTCATACCTCGTTACTCGCATTGTATGTTTCGTGAACGTGTTAGGTAATTTTTGGAGAAAAGTTTATTCAAAGACAACAATCTGATTTACATTGGGATTTTAGAATGTGTGCGTGTGTTTTTTTATATTTAGATTTTTTTAATTAGGGATCTTTTTTGTGTTTCAGATCGGTTCCCCTGATTACATGTCTACTTTATGCGCACTCTATGTGACAGATAGAGGTTATTTTCAAAATTCGGTCGTAAGTCTTTGTCAAGCTTTACTCATTAGAAGACGTAGAATGGAATATTATGTAATTAAAGTATCTTTTTGTAGGGAATTTCAAACGAGTTTTTTTCAAGCCCATCATCTATCTCCTCGCACTTTTTTTTATCAATTTCTTTTTGATGTTGTCTTAGAAAACACGATCATTAGACATAGATTAGGAATACATGCAGGTATCTTGGAAACAAGACGCTTAGACCGAGTGTACTGTCATAGCAATTTATTCATGCAAGTTGGTTTATTTTCTGTTTTATAGCTACCACCTTCGAACTTACTTTTTTGGCCAGTTTTTCCCATACATTTATATGGTGTTTCCCTTTCTTAAATTGAACCATTAAATTAATTTTTATACAATTAATTTTTAGACTGAATTTCCATTGGAAGACATTGTGGATTTTTTTGAAACATTAAACTCATTATTATGGTGGCATGATATCCAAGATGAAATTTGTGTCCTTTTTAATCAGTTTAGGTTTTTTATGATTGTCACTCATATTTATAATATTATACCCTTAATAAGTTTTGGTTTCGTCGAGTATGATGAAGATGTAGCGCCACCTATATTAGAGGATTATTTATGGTTAACTACCAATTACCACAGAGATACTCATAATGTCATACATTTTTTTCTTGATTGTATTCCTCAATCATCCTTTTTGTAACGCTAGATTTTTTTCAACTTTTTCAGAATGAGTATCCCTTTATGGATTACTACAACTTTTTATTTACGCTATGGACCTTTTTAGATAATCAAGATCCCGAGGATGAAATTTTGGTCCTTTTAAACCAATTTGACTTTTTTATGAATGTTAATTACGTTTATAATGTCATGAACATTATCTGTTTCAATTTTGTCCCCTTTCAAGAGGTACTACCACATCTAGAGAATTGTACATGGTTAGCTACCATTCCCAACAGAAACAGTCATAACATTTTTCATTTTTATCGTACTCCATTTGTATAACAATAAACTTTGCACTAGATTTTACATGTGGGTTGTCTTATCTATAATCTAACTCATGAAATGCAGAAAAAAAGCCGTCTGCTATTTCTTTATCCCAGTTAGTATAGTAAATACATCGCTCATTTCCATAGGGGTGGTAAATGTATCGCAAGGCATCGTGGAATATAATGTCATGATGTCTCTCCCGTAATTTCAACTCCTGAATTTCTTTCTGATACCTTTCCACATCCTGTGCATATTTCGATGCTTGCTGACGAATCTTGCGCTTAAAGCGACGCACTTTTAACACGCGACGGCGTCGTGTCTTCTTGCCCCTTTTAGACATGTGCATCCAACACGGTCACTCTGACACACATCACATCTTGTGAATTCTTTTTAGTTCTCTAGAGATTAAGACAGCCTCGAACAGCCTTCATTTAATCCCCTCGAGGTTAGGGCAGCCTTGGGCAGCCTTCATGTAATCCCCTAGAGGTTAGGGCAGCCTTGGGCAGCCTCAGGCAGCCCCGAACAGCCATCTTTGTCAGACAAAATCTTACACTGCGCATGCGTAAAGTCTCTGGCAGACATCTCACACTGTGCATGCGTAAAGTGTTGTAACATCTCCCACATGGATGGGAAGTGAGGTCTTGACATAGATATATATCTCATCATGATTTTTTTTAGTGTAACATGAACATACAGGCACACGTTACATTCCTCTAAGGGAGGCCATGAACTAATTTTTACCCCACCTACACCCTCATATTATGAATATATTAAACCGGCATCTTGAATGATGTCATCTTCGATGACGTCTCCGCCGCCATCTTGAATCCTCCCTAAGGGACTCAGACGCCATCTTGAATCCTCCCTATGGGACTTAGAGGCCATCTTGAATCCTTTGTTATTTATGTTAATTGATGGCGGCATCCCTTTGCTCCCTATGTAGACGCCCTATACTACTTGCGTTATCATTTGAAAGATGTGCCGCCCCAGCCAAACTCCCAACCTGACGGTGTCTCGGACGCGGATCGGCTTCGACGCGAGGCCGGAGCCCTAACTCCAGAAAGTGAACCTTGCGGTTCGCCTCCGCTCCATCCAATAAGTAAAAAAACCATCAGAATAGTGGTATTTCACCGGCGCAGCGAGCTGCTCCCACTTATTCTACACCTCTCATGTCTTTTCACAAGGTCAGACTAGAGTCAAGCTCAACAAGGTCTTCTTTCCCCGCTGATTCGGCAAAGTCCGTTCCCTTTGCTGCGGTTTCGCTAGATAGTAGATAGGGACAGTGGGAATCTCGTTCATCCATTCATGCGCGTCACTAATTAGATGACGAGGCATTTGGCTACCTTAAGAGAGACATAGTTACTCCCGCCGTTTACTCGCGCTTGGTTGAATTTCTTCACTTTGACATTCAGAGCACTGGGCAGAAATCACATTGCCATTGCAATGCTTTGTTTTAATTAAACAGTCGGATTCCCCAAGTCACTGCCAGTTCTAAGTTCGCCGTTCGTCGCCTCCCGATCTGACCGGAGGGTCACAGCTGGGCCACTCCACGGCCGATTCCTTCCCGGTCCGACCGCGACCTCGGAGAGGGAGAGAAAACCCCCCCTCGCCTCGACCACGGCTAGTCCGGGCCGGATCCAACCGCTTCAAGTCTCAGCCCGAGAGACCTGGCGCTTAGAGCCAATCCTTTTCCCGATGTTACGGATCCATTTCGCTGACTTCCCTTACCTACATTGTTCTATCGACCAGAGGCTGCTCACCTTGGAGACCTGCTGCGGTTATGAGTATTACCGGACGCGAAAATCATCGACTGCCCCGGATTTTCAAGGGCCGTCGAGAGCGCACCGGACACCACAAGAAGCGTGGTGCTTTACCGGACATGGAACCCTATCTCCGGAAAATCCAATGTTAGGTTCACTTGGACCTGTGCTACCTGCTGGTGGTGTTAGAAAGGTCGAAAACGGTCGCTAAAGGGCTCTTCTAACGTATGGAAAAGCGGTTTTTTGGCGCTGGCCGCGCGAGGATTGGACCCGAGATGCTGATGTTCCGGGACGAAGTTCACTTAGACCCGTGCTACCTGCTGGTGGTG